AAGGAGCTTTTATGAGTGCTAATAAGCTGTCCAGAGATGTGTTCATAAAGATGAAGATCCTTCATAATATGGAGCACTGAGTTTTTCCTGCCAGATGTGAATATAATCATATCATCCGCGAAAGCAAGGTGACTGATGGGCTGAATGGCATGTGGTTGAGAGAAAGGGATGACACCAGGAGACTGAATTTTATGATCAAGGAGTTGGGATAAGAAATCCGCAGCAATAATGAAAAGGCTGGGTGATAGAGGATCTCCTTGCCTTAATCCCCTTGAAGAAGTAAAGAAGCCCTCTCTCTGTCCATTAATAAGCATAGTGTACCAGATATTAGAAATCATCCTGAAGACCAAATCAATCCATTTCTCACAGAAACCCATTTTTCTTTGGACTTTTATCAGGAATGACCAAGAGACCCTATCATAGGCCTTGGCCATATCCAGTTTCAAGATGATGTCCCTATTTCCCAATTGCATACCATGACATAATTCTTGTGTTATAAGAATATTTTCAACAATAGACCTCCCTTGGATAAAACCAGTTTGAGATTGGGATATCACATTTGGCAGAATACTAGCAAGTCTGTTAGCAAGTACTTTAGAAAGAATTTTGCTACTAAAATTGCAAAGACTAATAGGTCTAAAATCTGCAAATGTGTTGGGACAGTCCACCTTGGGAATCAAAACAATGGGAGTATGTGTCATGCTTTTAGGCATATAATCTCCTTCAAAGAAACCACAGACCATATCCAAGATATCCTTGTGTATAATTTCCCAACATGTTTGATAAAAAAGTCCAGTGAAGCCATCAGGACCAGCTGCACTGTGTGGGTTTAAAGAGAATACTGCCTGCTCAACTTCTTCCAAGCTAGGTGTAGAAACCAATTTTTGATTATCACTCTCTGTTATTTGTGAGGGAATAAGAGAGAGGGATGTATAATCAATGTCTCCTCTATACTCTTCAGTAAAAAGGTGTTGGTAAAATTCAATGGCCTGTTGAGCAATCTGTTTTTGATCCTCAATCCATGCTCCAGTCTGGTCTTTAATTTTGTGGATATATAATCTCCTTCTCCTGTCCTTCACTATAGAGTGAAAGAACTTAGAATTCCTATCCCCATCCTCAATCCATTGAATATGGGCTTTTTGCCTCTAAAAAAGCTCTTCCAGATGTAATTGATGGATGTATGAGGCTTCAACAGATTTGAAATTGATTAAATTCTCATCACTAGGGTCAGCCTGGTAGAGTTCTTCAGCATTCTGAACCTTCTTCTCAAGATCTTCCAATTTAGTAAATATATTGCCAAAGACTTGCTTATTCCATGTATTAAGTGCATAAGTAGTAGCCTTTAGTTTAGCAGCAACCTGAACCATAGGTGGGCCAGACAGAGTTGTTTTCTAAGCCTTATCAACAACCTGCATGAAATCAGCATGAGTGGTCCATGCATTAAGGAAAGAAAATATCCTAGGGGCGGTAGTACAAGTTGGTATTGTTGTGGATATATGAAGTGGAGAATGATCAGAGGTGGTTAAAGAGAGAACATGAACAGTAGTCTGAAATGTGTCAGCCCAGGATTGGTTAACCAGACATCTGTCCAATCTCTTCCAGATGGAGTGAGATTTCCTCCTGCCATTCCACCAAGTAAAGGTATTACCATAGGTGGTGACTTCCATAAGACCACAATCATTGATGCATTGTTGGAAATCCCAGCTGGCATTTAAAGACATAGGGAGACCCCTTTTTTCTCATCAGGATTTAGGCTGCAATTAAAGTCTCCAACAACTGCCCAAGGTTTGTTAACAGTATAAGACTGAGTAAACTGTACCAGGGAGGCCCTGAGATCCTTTCTTAACCAGCTTTTGGTTTTAGCATAGACAAAGGCCATAAATCCAGTTTTTTGACTGGGGGTATGGGTTGCATCCACAAAAACCACTTGTTCTTCATCAGAGAGAACCTTAATGGTATAAGTATCCTTCCAAAGTAACCAAATTTTCCCAGAGCACCCAACAAAATGTTGTGAGAAGCCAATATGTTTTTTAGTGGATTCACAGTGTTCTGCTCCCCTGAAAGGTTCTATGATGCAAACAAGTTGGAGATGGTGTTTAGAAACCAGATGATGAAGTCGATCAAGGGACCCTCTGGTGAAGATCCCTCTGACATTCCACACAAGTGTGGAATCCATAAAATTATTGTGGAGGGGGAGAAGAAGTTCTGGCCCTGCCAGACTTCTTAGTTGTAGGGGTTTTGTGTGGTTTTGCCTTAGATGAACCCTTTCTGGTGTTTGCTGCAGGAACATCCAGAGAAATATCATTTAAAACCTTTTTTGATTTAGGATCAAACACTGGTGAAGATAAGGAGTCTTCTTCTCCAATGGGACTAGCATAACCTTCATCTGACCAGACTTCCTCAATAGCATTCTCAGCAGTTTGGGGTCCAGGATCTATTTCTTCCAACATTACATTTGTATTAGATGGGATGGATTTGGCTAAAGTGTTCTCACCACAAGTTAGCTGCTTAGGGATCTCATTGGTGGGTATCACAGGGAATAATATGCTCATATTTTGTGGATTTTGGTCAATTGACTGTAAAGGCACTTCTTTAAGAACCCCAAGTGCATATTGTGTGGGATTAAATTCAGGTGCTTGGGGGTTTAATGTTGGCAGGTCCTGTAACGCCCCAAAACATACCCTAATATTTATTGAATTAAATATTCAATTAAACAAATTTGTTTTGATTAAAAATAAATTGTTGTTGGGCTTTGGGCCAAAATAAAATATGTTATCCAATATCATAATCCGGATAAATCTTATAGCGATAAATCCAATATGGTGACCTACTGTGTGATCTTAATTTGGGAACCAGAGTATAGGCCCAAATTAGGAATAAATGAAAGATTTGTTTATAATGTAAACTTTGAAATGATTTACTGGAATAAATCATGAAAATAAGTTATATGAATTAAATGTGAGAACCTTTTTGAATAAAGGTCAACTAAATCAATTTTGACCCTGTCAAAGTCAAACATCCAAAAATATGGTGTCTGAAAAAGTATAACCAATAAATATAAAAATTATATCGTTGGATAGAGTTTAACTGTCCGATTGCAACGGTGCAGACGGAATTCAATTCGGAGAAAGTTGGACTAAAAAGTGTACCCCGACTGGAACCAAATTTGTCCCAATCAGGGAGTGGCGTGTAAAATCCTACAAATCGCCGCTCACTCCACTCAGCCGATTACACAGGGAAAGGACGCAACGTAAATTTGGCTCCTTCCCCATCACCATTCCCATATAAGAGAACCCAAGCTCCTTCATTTCTTCACCAAACCTCTCCATTCTTTATTCTATTCTGTTCTTTGTTGAGAGAGGAGTACAGTGGTGCTATCAATTTGGTGAGAGGTCGCCGGAGCTAACCACAAACCTCGCCAGATGTTCCGCCGGAAAATCTTCAAAACCCCCATTAAGCTTTGAGGTAAGCCCGTAGATATATCTAGTGACTAGAATGTTCGTATAGATCGTTTCTACGTTCATAAACGGTCGTTTGGTTGAGTTTTGTGTGTGACATGTTTGAAGAACCAAGAATCATAAACCATGAAATTGATGTTAAAACTATGAATTAATGATGCCAAAATAATCTATGAACCTTGGAGAACATCTCTATATAGTTTCGTTGAAGTTCGATAACTAAAAACGGTATTTCCAAAATTGGACACGAACGAAGAAGAAGATGAACAGTAGCTGAAACACCACTGTTTGGATCGATCCAGGGGCTTGGATCGATCCCCTGGGAGTGATTTTTTAATGGTATGGATCGATCCATAGGGCTGGATCGATCCCCCGAAGTTCTGATCCGAAAATTTGCCCGAAATTGCTATTTTTGAGCTCTTAAATCCTATTTTTGATACCAATTGATTATAATTATTTTAAGGATGATTCTTTACAATAAAAATTATGTTTTTAACAAATAAAAATGTTATGTGATGCATGACGGTAAGTTCAGGTGTTAACACTCGAAACTAGACCGCTATTTGTTATCAATTGATATGTTGATTGATGATTATGATGAATGATTATTATGGATGATTATGAATGATGAACTTACTGATCAAAATTATTATTTATGATTGAACCATGAGTAAAATGAATATATTGATAATTATTAAACGATTTGTATTGTTAACGTTATCTAGAAGAACTCTAAGATATACCCATTAGTTAATTGATGTTAAGGCTATCTAGAAGACCTCTAGAATAGATCTTGTATTAGAATAGACTTATGAAAACATGAATATTTGATGAATTAGATAAAAATGTATAAACGGGATTCGTAGACCAAACTAGAGGATTACTCGTTTGGGAATGTCTGATCCAATGTTGATCAATCGCTATATTGTTGTTGCCTTAACCGACTACGGTTAAGTGTCCGAATCGTTTGCCTTAAACTAGTGATAGTTTAAGTGTCTGATTGCCTTAACTGACTACAGTTAAGTGTCCGAAATCAATTGCCTTAAACTAATGATAGTTTAAGTGTCTGATCAATAATTGCCTTAAAAGAATCTGGTTATGGAAATTATGATTTGGCCTTAGACTAAGAATAGCTAAGAAATGAATAGGTAAACCTGGCAAAGATATCCAAACTGAAGCAATAGATGTCTCAGTTTCAGTATTAAAATCTGGGGTCCATCTGAATAATCTCATGGGGTTAGCACCATTAAAAGCAATTTGGCTTTTAAGCAGAATATCAGTGCAGTCCTGGCTATTTGAAAATGTGAGAATCACATGTCTAGGTCCTCTCCATCCAATAGTGACCTGTCCTTTGAGCAAATACTGTGTGGCAAAGTGCTTTTTAATCACATCCAATTTGGGTTGTCCATGTGAAAATTTCCCAACCAAGGTAAATCTGTCAACTTTTGAAAAGTGTTCAACTTCTTCCTCAGCAAAACGAACAGTAGGAGTGTCTCTATGCATGATAATATTTCTATCAGGTAAAACAAGCTTCAAGCCCCCATTAGTTTGCTGTTGAGGTGTAACAGTTTGTGCATAACTGAGTCTAGAGGGAAGACCAACAGGCCTATTATCATTCTGTCCACTAGTTTTGGTTTGAACCTGGTTTTTGTTAAGGTTGGGAGTAGCTTTTGCTTCTGACTGAGACATATTTTTGTCAGGAGATATTTTTGGAACCTCATTCCCATTATCAATACTTACTGTATTTTTCTTAACAGTAGAGTTAGCAATTCCACCAGTAGATTTCTCAGGTTCAACAAATAGAGCAACAGATTTATCAGGTTCAACAAATAGGTCAGCAGATTTCTCAGATTCAACTAACAATGGAGTTTGAATAGATTTAGGACTATACTTCAGAGCAACTTCAATGGCTTCCTCAGTTTTCCCCAACGATAACAAATGCTTAACATAAGTTCGAAATGCAGTTATATAGTGTTCATGAGTGTTAGAATGCAGATTACCAGATGTCTGAGGAACAGCTTTGGGGGCTGGGCAGTTCAGCGGAGGAAACTCCTCGTCCGTAACATCCTCAATATCTACATGTTCAACTGGTTTTCCAGTATTGAGAATTTGAGGGGTGTCGAAGCCCTTAGAAGAGCTTTCAGGAACATTAACATGAGAAATCTTATCTTGCAGCTCCATTTCTGAGTTTCGGATCTGCAAATCAGAATTTTGGGAAATCACTGGATTTGAAAGAGAAATTGGAATAGCTGGTGTAGATGTGTCCATATGGTCAGGACGAAGCCCAGGAGGGTCATCATCCGCCATGAGAGAGCATCAGCTGCGCAGATCGAAATCTGGTCTCTCGTAGATCTCAGAAACCCAGTTTCGTCAATACTCCACCAAATCGCACAAAATAAGCCACCAATCTAATTTTGAAGCCACAAAAACTTCTGATCCCAATTTAAGATTCTCGTAATCTCAATCATATGGACCTGGCAAAGTAGAGATGGAGAGATGCGATGAAGAGAAGCGAAAAATCTCTCGAACTGCGTGATGAAAATCAAATTAAACTATATACCGAGTAGTATATGTATGTATGGATGTATTTATGCAGAACCTTCCTTTGGGGAAACAAATTCTACAAAGTGGCTTGGGATGATATTTGCAAACCAAAGGAGGAAGGGGGACTTGGACTTAGGAACTCTGAAGTTTGGAATCAAGCACTCATGGCTAAAAACCTGTGGAATATTGCCTCAAGAAAAGAAACCCTCTGGGTTCAGTGGGTTCACAGTGTTTACCTTCAAGACAGAGATATTTGGACCTGGATCCCTAAACATGGGGATTCACATTTCTTCAAAAAGCTTGCAGAAGTGGGAAACAATCTGACCCAGAAGATTGAGATTGATCTGAACCAAGAAGTGGATTGGGATGAACTACTTGAAGATGGAAAATTCTGCACTGCAAAGGTGTATGATCTACTGAGAGTCCATGTGCCTCCTAAACCTTGCATGAAAATGATTTGGCAAAGCTACATTCCACCCAGATTCTCTTTTACAACTCGGCTAGCCATTAGAAGGAGATTATCTACCAAGGTGAATCTGGGATTTATCCCTATGGAGAATAGGAATTGTAGCCTCTGTGGACAAGAGCTTGAGACCACTGATCACCTTTTCTTTACTTGCACTGCATCCCAACAGATTTGGAAGGGTGTGAAAGATTGGCTCAAAATTCCTTATGCACTCTCAACAATTGAAAGAGTCATAAAATGGCTCCTTGGAAGGCATAGAGTACATGGGAACCTGAGAAATATTTGGAGATTAGCAACAATGAGTACCATACATGATATTTGGAAGTTGAGAAATGCTGTCTATTTTGATGGCAAGAGTGTGGACTATGATGCAACTACTAGAAAAATCAAGGTGGGGGTTTACAAGATTTGTTACAGAATCTATCCTAATACTGCACTGTAAGCCCTCCCTTTCTTTGATCTTGTGATTGGCTGGTTTGATTGGGGTTAGGTGTGTTAATGATGCTTTCATTAAACCACTTAACCTTGTTTTCTTGGTACATCATTGACTCTATCATACTAGTTTATCTAGTTTTGAATAGTTTAATGAAGTACCATGGGTGGGGTTTCTACCCCTGGCTGTTGGTTAGTGGATAACAGGGCACATAGTGGTTACCCTTGTTGGATAAGTATTATGTTCCCTAGGATCAGGGGGTGTTTTCCCTTGGTGGTTGGCGGCTTGGATACTTACCATTCTCTGGTTATTCTTGTTGAATAATTTTAGAATGATTTGAATCCTGGGTTGGGTGGTTGGACCCCTTTGGCTTTGCTACTGGGGTGGTGGAAATAAATCAGACTCTATGTACCCCTTTTGGATACATAGAGACTGACTTAGGTCCTGGTTGGGGTGTCTACACCCATTTCTTTCTTTCACTCCCTCTTCCCCTTCTTGCTGTTCACCCTTCTCTTCCTTGCCTCCTCCTTCTCTCTTGGTCATAAGCTAGTTGCTCATACTCCAGTCATTCTTCAGATGGATTATGAGCAGACTTGGTTGTGGCCTGGGTTCCTTTTGGGTGGGTGGACCCTTTGGGTGGTGGAAACAGGTCATTCTTTGTATACCCCTTCTGGATATATAAAGAATGACTTGGGTCCCAGGTTGGGGTGTTTCACACATCCATTCTCTTTCCTTGTTTCCCCCCCCCCCCTCCCTTCTTCTTTCTTCTTCTCTTCCCTTCACCACTTTCTCTTTGCTTCCTTCTCTCCTCTCTTTTCTTCTGTTTTCTGGAGCCAAACCATGCTACACATTACCTTTCTTCCTTTGAAAGAATGTGTTAATTGGTTTGCCTCCCTTGTCCTTTGACAGTTGGTGACACTTGGTTTGAACTCAACGCTTTTGGTGTTGGACCCTCTGATGCTGACCTAGTTCTGATTACCTCGGCCACTCTAACCTAGCCATGGCACAGCCTCTCCTTATTTGCATAAGGGAGTTTCTGATTTGTTGTTACATGGCCTGGTAAGCTGAGGAAATGCTGGAATTAGGTCCACTGTTCTGTGATGATGATTGCTCTTGCTTCTTTGTGACTGCTTTTTGTGAGTGAACTGGAACACTAAGTACAATTGGTGTGTCCTTTTCACTGGACCTGACCTGGAATATTCTGATTTGGCTCTCTTCATTTGGATCCCTGTTTGCAATCTTGGTTTTGAATGATGTTACAGCCCTCAACAACAATTGGAATGATTTGGCTGCTGTCTTTGCTACATGCTGTTTGTGATTGTACCTCTGTTTAGTTCAAGACTTTGGCTGTACCATTCGAGATGGAGCTCAGGACTGGAGCTTGTTGATGTCTCTCTGTTGAAACACGGGTTTATCACGTTTTCGTACTAAAGCCGCGTTCGTTGTTATGACAGGTTTTGATAATGCCAAACCGCCGTGAACGAGACAAGTCATTGAATATACAAGGCGAGAACCAAAGATGAGAAGAAAGAGAACAAGGGACAAAAGAAGACCAAGAACGAAGACCGTAGTCTTAGTGTCATTGAGTCGGTCACAATTGTGATCAAGACCGACCCAATCTTTACACCTTGGCTCTTTAGGCTAAAATTCTTTTCAATGCATTTCACACATCATAAAAATGTTTTTCAAAGATGTATAAAACATTAAAAAAACTTGGTGTTCGCCCAAACCAAAAACCAAGCCATCCGGCGTTCGGGTTTCAGAAACCGGCATTCGGCATTCGGTTTTCGGCGTTGGTTTTTGGCGTCCGAACTAACCAAATGGTTTTCAACTATTTATGACTGGTTTTTACTTCTGGGCACATTTAAATAGTTTTTCATCAAAAACACTTCAAAAACCAGCTTTCGTTTTTTGTCGTTTGATAAAAACCATGTGAAACAGCATTAACTTAGCTAGCCGTGGTTTTTACTTAAATGAAGTGGTTTTCGAGTCTTTTTGTGTGGGAATTGTTTTTGAATTAATTTAAATGGTTCTCCAATCAAAACATCATGAAAACCACCTTTCAGTTTTGTCTTTTGGTGAAAACCACCCGTGTACGGTGTTGACTTGGTCAACCGTGGTTTTTACCTTAACGACGTGGTTTTCAACTTACAAATCTTGTTTTGACATCAAAATACATTAAATAAGTGTTTTATATACTTAGTTTTTACTTTGGAGAACTTTGCATTTTTCGGTCGGGTTTCAGCGCTGGTCAGCTAGGCCATGGTTCTGGGCTAGCCATCTACCCAGCGATGGTATATTTCACCCATGCATGGGTAAGTGATCCCGGGATTCCAGAATCATGCCACCCAGCGATGGGAAGATCTTCCCATCGATGGGTAAGCAGTCCCTCAACGAAACTGATTTCCAGAACCATGCCAAACAGCGATGGGAAGTTCTACCCATCGCTGTTAAAGCCTTGGTGCAACATTACCACAAGGCAGAATGCCCTTACCCAGCGATGGGAAGCTTTACCCATCGATGGGAACCCAGCGATGGGAAGGCTTAACCATCGATGGTTAGGCATGACCGTTGCGAGTCATTTAAGGCTGATTCTTTCCTTATTTGAAAGTCAACCTCCCACCCAGCGATGGGAAGCATCTACCCATCGATGGGTAGGTAACC